CTTAGCCGATCCCTGATACAGCAGGCCAATGCCCATCAGGGCAGCCACTTGGGTGCTCTGCGGTATGTCCAGCTCCATAGCTGTCGCTGGCAGCAGCGCCTCCAGATGGACGCTCAGCAATTTGGTTGTCTTCGTATCCATGCTGCCGCGATGTGCAGCCGATATGCCTAGCAGCAATCCGACGCTGGTCATCTCATCGCATTTGACCAAATACTTGTAGACGCTCATGAAGGAGAGCGACTTGAGGTGTCCATTGAGGCCGAGTGCCATCAGGAATCCCGCATGCTCCAAAGCATTGTTCGCCTGTGCCTTTGGCTTGTTGTAGACAATCCATGTGGAGTCGATATCCAGCGCTTGTGGCGAGATCTTCAGCCCGGTGGCGACGCCATTGTGAAACGATGGCCACATATGCATATTCGCCGGAAACTCAATCTGCTGCATCTCAATGGTGGTGCCCTTCACGGGCTCCCGGCCCACCAGGCACAGCTTGGGCATGGGCATATTGTCGCTGGGCCGCGGCATCAGGGTGCGCAGGGTGAACATGCCACGGCCCAGGGGCAGGGTCATGGTGCGTGCACACAAAGCGAACAATTGTTTCTCCTGCTCCTCGATGAACTCGTGATCACTGGTGCCCGGCGATTGTTGCACCTCAATCGCAACGGGATCGGCGCTGTTGAGCAGCCGTCGCACCTCCTCGACGCGCATGTCGTCGGGAAAGCGCAAGCGCAACAGTTTCGTATCCATATTATCCATGCCATCGTGACGCAGCTGCTCGGACTCTGGCTCCGGCATCGGCCACTCACCGCTGCTCGGCGCAATGCGTGGCGATAGCGAATCCTCCTTGTAGACACGCCCGCAATGCGGCTGGCCCAGCGTCGTCTCGAGAAACGGCAACTGCGCATGGGCAGCCAGCTCCGGACGCAGTATCAGCTCATAGGTGGCCGTGCTGCTGCCCATGGGCGGCATGACACGGGCCTGCTCCAGCGCCTCGGCAATCACCAAATGCACCGCAGCGGGCAGACGTTCAATATCGCGCCTGGTCATCTGCATGCACAGCAAGAGCTCCAGCACCTGGTGGCAGCGCGGCACATCCGCCGAGATGCTACGCTTGGGGCGCTTGCCAAAGTTCGCCTGGACCGCGCCGAAGATCTCGAGCAGCTGCCACCAGTGCTTGAGCTTGCTCTGGCCATGCATCACCAGCGAGACGAGCTGCACGATATTCCGGCTGCGCTCGTTGATGCACTCCATGTAGCTGAGCGGCGGCACCTCCTGCCGGTTGAGCAGCACATGCTCCAGCTGCACATAGACACTGGGCGCTGGCATGCGCAACAGCTCCTGGTAGAGCATCAGGGCGCCATGATCATTGCTCATCATGGTCAGCTTGGTTGTCTTGTGCGTCAGCTCCGGAAAGTCGAGGTGATAGTGCATTATATAGCTGTCCAGTTGCATATCGATTGCCAGCTGATGCAGGAACTGCAATGGCGCAAATCTTTAGACCGACACACACACACGCACATAATCCACAAGAGAGAAATCCATGTACTCACCGATGCCAGGTAGATGAGGGCACTCTGAAAGACCGAGTCCAGTTTGAGATCCTCGTAGAGCATGTGCATGCCATAGAATATGGCAGGCAGCATGCGAAACAGTGGAGCCGTCACGTCCACACTGTACGCGTGCGCCGGATCCGAGGGGCAGGGGGACAATGCAGTCTGCAGCAGCATGAACTCCCAATCATCGTCGGTGTAGGACTCGCAGTCGTTGTACTTGCGTCGCTTCTTTGGCTCATCCTGGGCAGCGCCCGCGAACGTGTGCAGTGGAGGCGTGGCACAGCGCGACTCATAGGACTCATCCACATCGGCCGTCTCGTCCGCTGACATCGCTGTTGCCGTCGACGCCGTCACGGTGCCCATGCAGCCCATCAGGCCGAGCAGGGTGCTGCGAAACAGTTGCCACTCCTGCTCGATGCTGTAGTCCTGGGAGCCGGGCGGATTGCGTGCACTGTACCAGCGTATGATGAAGTGCAGAAACTGTGCGGGACTCAGCACCTGGCGCAATGCCGCCACACAGCGTGTGATGAGGCGTGTATCGTTGAGCAGCGGCAGAGCAATGCGCAGCATCCGCCCGGTGGCATAGACCAAGGTCAAGCGATTGCCGGCGGGATCACGCAGTCCTTTGCACACGTTATGCGCCTGTCGTTGTGTATAGGACATGGGCTGCGGTTGTATGGGCGAGAGCATGTGCAGCTCCAGCTCCTCATCGAAGGCGCTCAGATCGGCGGCCGCCTTGGTGGGCAATAGACTGCTGCGACGCACCTCCACAAAGGAGCTGTTGGCAACCTTGAGCTGTGCCGACGCTGTCGGCCCTTGCACCGGCGTCTGCGGAGTGGGCGTTGTTGCCGGCGATGGCGTGGCAATGTAAGTAGTCTGAGGCGCTGTGGCCAGCTGGGGCGTTATATGCACCTTGGATATGAGCACAGTGCCCGTGTAGAGTATGAGATTGCCACCAGGATCGAGTACGGCTATCATATGCATGCGCTGCAAGCCCACTGCATCCTTGGCCGGCAGCGTCGAGGCCAATGTGGATAGCTGCAATTCGCTGGTGTCGTAACCATTGATCAGCACCATTTGCAGGCGGCAGCTGCGGGCGAGCAAATAGCACAGATACGTCTGGCCCACCAGATCCGTGTGGATGAAGGCACGCGTGGCCATCTCACAGAACTCGCGTTGCCTGCAAAGGAATGCATTAGCGAGTTGTGGTTGAGCTGCTTGAGGAGTTATTTGTGAACTTACGTGCCATAGGTATTCTCTGTCCAGATGTGCTCCAAACACATCTCCGGCTCAATGGGCTTGGCCGGCTTCACGTGTGTTATCTTGCGCATATCCTTAACGGACACCGACTGCTGGCTAATGCTGTTCTGCAGCTGGCTGAGCGGTGCGCCCAGCGAGGCTCGACTGAATGGCAAATGAATTGGCATAAATGTCATATAAGTATCAAATAGAATCAGCTACTCACTTGGATTGACCCAGGACGCCGCTAAACGATTGCGACTGACTGAGGCCGTATTTCGAGAAATTAAGAGTCGGCGTTGCTGGATTGTTGCGTCCCAGGAACGAGGTGGTGTTCAGCTTTGAATTGGCTGCTATAGGAATACAGAAAAATAAAGCCAAGTTTTCAGCTAGAGATTGAGATTGAGAGTGTGTGTAGAGAGGATCACCTACCACCCGTCAGTTTGGTGGAGCTGAAGCTGTGCAAGGTGCTGGTGCCCGGTGTGGTTCGATTGCCCTGCAATGTCTGGCTGAGCAGCTCCTGCTGTTGCTGGCTCACAAGGTTCACCTCCTCGGCGGTCACCTTGCGCAGCCGGGCAACAAAATGCTTGAAGAACTTTGCATCGTATAGCAGCACCAGATCGGACTCCTCGGCCGTGAAGACAATGCTGTATTCGGGTTCGGTCATGTAGCCCGTTGAGTTGGTCGCCGTCTTGTGCACCACTGGGCAGGCTTCGTGCAGGGGATGCGACATGGAGAAGAGACGTGGCATTGGTATGGACAGATGGGAGACGAGCGCATTGCTCGAGTCCTTTTCCAGCAGCAGGCCGTGTGTCGTTTGCCATAGATGCGAGACGGGAAAGTCGAGATTGGCCAGAAAGTCATCACCATCATTGCAGTAGACGCGCAAAGCATCCTGATCCATCACACAAATGGCTGTCAGCTTGTCCTCTGGCTCGACGGCGGCGCGCAGCTGAGCCAAGCGACCGCGCACGAAGCTACGATTCAGGAAGCAGGCGAACTTCACTGGTGTGTCGCAGGTGAAGCACATGCGCTGCTGCACACCATCGTCATCATCGTTCAGGCCCTGCGTCCATATGACCGTATTCTTGTTCACATACAGCTCCTCCTCGTTGTTAACAATGTAGTCGCACATGGGATCCTCGCGACGGAGCTTGATGGGCTCCAGCAGCTGCTTTGGCAGTGATGTCAATTGTGTGGCCGCCGCCGCATTGGGTCCGCACTTCTTCGTTTGCTCAATTAGTTGCTGACGACGCTGTGCGCGCTCATAGCTGGCCTCGTAGTCATCATAGATTTCGCGAATGCACCAGAACTCTTGCGGCTCTTCAGCGGCGGCTGAGATATTAACATTTTGTAATCGCTGCAGTAGCAAATGCTCAGCAGGCAAATATTTTGGCAATGGCGGTTCGGTGGGTCCTGGATGATCCTCTGCCGCCTGTCGACCGCGAGGAATGAACTCCTGGGGCGGCTCTGCGACGGCAATCATCTCATTGCATGCATCCAGATTTGCGGGTTTCTTTCTTGGACAAACAGTCGCACACTTCACACGGAATTACTATTGAATCGAAAATATTTCACATACAATAAGGAAATTCAACCAAAATGCCGGCTCAGATGTCGTCGCGCCGGCAAATTTGTATTAACAATATTATCGCTATCGAAACTGCATGTGACATCAATAATGATATCGATAAGCTAGAGCCCATGGATATTGTAATAAACATTAATTCTCGGTTGAGAACGATATAGTAACTCAACGTAAAAACGTCACTTTTCAATTAGTTTTTCCATCATTAGCTTTTCCATCTCAGCGAATTTTAAATTGTAATGCTTGACATATTAATTGAATTCAATATTTAATATATCAAAAATAAAAGAGACATACAAAATGCATGCAAATAAAAGGATAACAAAATTAACGGCCAAAATAAAAACAATTAAAATCGAATCACACTATCGATTGTGCACAGCTGTTTTATGCAAATCGCGATAAGTTTTCGACAAGTAATCGTGTGGTGATATCGAGGTACACGATTTATTGAAATCATGCCGCGAGTGTCCATCTTCAGCTCTAAATGGAAAATACTGAATAGGAATATGCAATTAAGTAAACCTTCAACGGTGGAAATGGAGTTCTCGTAAATAATCAATCAGCATTGGAGCTCTGCACAGATTCATTTGAATTGTGTTAATATTCAGTTGCAATATTTGACATGACCACGATATTGAAGATGTAAGATGTCATTGTCTATCGAAATATCGATATAATAGCAGCAATTTCATTAATAAATGTATGTTGATGTTGTCTATGGATGGCACTGGTTGTATCCAACAGAAACATGGCGGACAAGCGAAAATACAAGCGATCCGTAAATAAATAACAATAACAACACGAATCATATGTAAACATTGTTATTTTAATATATATTCTTATTCTTATCTGTCATTAGAAAGAGGAAATCGCCCGTGAATTTGATCTGCCTGAACGTAAGTCTAAGATCGCAACAATCCTTAAACAAGATGACCAGGCCTACTGCATATGTCGTACATCGGATTGCTCTAGGTTTATGATGTAAGTAACTAATAATTCCTGTCAAACAATTTCGACTGACATTTTCAATCTGTTTGTAGTGGCTGCGATGGGTGTGAGGAATGGTATCACGGCGACTGCATTGGAATCACTGAAAAGGAAGCAAAGCATATTAAGCAATATTACTGTCAACGGTGCAAGAAAGAGAATCCTGACCTGCAGACAATATTTCGATTGGTTGCCACAGAACGCGCGGCGGCCACTGCGGCTGCATCCACTTCTGGTAGCGGTCAGAATTGTGGCGCCTCAAATCCGTCTGGTATTGGTACTGGTAGTGCGGCAAGTACCAGCGGAAATGCAGCTGCAGGTACTTCGAGTGGTGGTCGCAAAAACAATAGTGCGGCTAAGGAAACCAAGGCTGTCCGAAGGTGTGGCACATGCGAAGGTTGCCGGCGACCCAATTGCAATCAGTGCGATGCCTGTCGCACACGGGTTGGCCACAAGCCGCGCTGCATTTACCGTAACTGTGCGATACAGTCGGCGCAGCTAGCTAATCCAGCTCCAACAACGACCGGACGGAAGCGTGAGAAGGCCAATGCCGTACAGCAGCAGCAGCGGAAAAACAAAGTTGTCCGCTCCGACAGTCCAGAGATCTTTGTGCATCCAGAGCTGGAGGGAGTGCGTCAGTGTCATGGACCCGGTTGCCGTTGTCAGGCTCGACCACAAAGTAAATACTGCAGCGACAAGTGCGGCTTCAATCTCGCCACGAATCGTATATTCCAGGTTTTGCCGCAACGACTACAGGAGTGGAATCTAACGCCATGCCATGCGGCTGAAGAGAATCAGGAGCAGCTCGAGGTGATACGACAGAAACAATCAATGGTGCGTTTCGCTCTAGCCGAGCTGGAGAAGCGAGTCGAGGAGCTCAACATGGTGGTGGACCGGGCCAAGCGCAGTTCCATAGACACGCTACGGCCGCAGGACAATGGCGACGTCGAGGATGAGCAGAGTATGTACTGCATCACATGCGGCCACGAGATACATTCCCGAACTGCCATCAAGCACATGGAAAAGTGCTTCAACAAATATGAATCGCAGGCCAGTTTTGGTAGTATCTTCCAGACCCGAATGGAGGGCAACAATATGTTCTGTGACTTTTACAATCCGGCAAGTAAAACGTATTGCAAGCGATTGCGCGTTCTATGCCCGGAGCACAGTAAGGATCCCAAGGTCAATGATACGGACGTGTGCGGTGCGCCGCTCGTTAGCAATGTGTTCAATCCCACGGGTGAATTCTGTCGTGCGCCCAAAAAGAATTGCTTCAAACACTATGCCTGGGAGAAGATACGCAGGGCCGAAATTGATTTGGAGCGCGTTCGTCAATGGCTAAAAATGGATGACCTAATGGAGCAGGAACGTCTATTGCGCCAACAGCTCAGCTCGCGGGCCAATTTGCTGGGCCTCATGCTGCACTCCACCTACAATCACGAGGTCATGGACGAGCTGGTGCGCAAGCAGCAGGAGCACTTTATTGAGCTCGAGAAACAGAAGCGGCGACACGGCGTGCACTACCAAGTGCAACACCCACAACAGCATTTCCAGCTGCTGCAGCAGCATAAGCTACAACAGATGCAGCAACAGCCGATGACGGCGCAGCAAGCTCAGCAAAAACACCATAAGCTGATACAAATGCAGCAGCAACAACAAAAGCTGCTACAAATTCAGCAACAACAGCAACAGCTGCAACTGTATATGCAGCAGCAAGCGCAGCAGCAAGCGCAGCAGAAAGCGCAGCAGAAAACGCAGTGACAAGAACACAAGGATATGCAATCCAAAAGGAAAAGCAACGGCAAAAGTAGATGCAAAAGCAAAACCTAAAGGAATACAACAAATTCAGCATCAGCTGATTGATATACATACATTATTCTATATACATAACTTTATACATACACGCCTATATATAGTGCAAGCTAAGTTAATTTTTTATACATATAAACATGCAAGCATATTGTCTCAATTGTTAGTAGACAGACATATGCCATTAAACAAACACAGAAATCTACACCGACATGCACTCGATCACCATGGATATTGAGTATAGCTAATATATATATATATATATATATATACATATATATAAATATAAATGTATATGTAAATGTGTGTACTTGATATTAATAATAAGTCTTGTGTGAAACGTTACCAGCAGCAACCCGATCAAGAAATTTCGACGCCGGCTGTTTTCATCACACATATATCGCCCTCTCCCTTTATCTTTCGCTCGCGCTCTCTCTTACCTTTACCAGGTAGAGGTTGCCAAGAGTTTCTCCCCCTACTGTTGTTATTGAAAACTAAGCATAAAAATATTTATTGATAGCAACATGTCTGCAGGTATCAATAAGCAAGCTGAAATCGTTAACATCATTCACAATTTCTCGTTCTAATCTATGTGCTCTCCTAGGAAATTAACGAAAATGACAAAATAAAGCAAATTTCTAAAATACTCTTAATACATTTATAAAAAAAAAAACTATAAATAACAAGTAAGAGAACTCTAGTCGAGAGTGCTCGACTAGATACTACCCTGAACCAAACTAATAGAAAA